TCCCCTGGGCCTCCAAGTATAGCTATTCCATCCATCCTAAACCCTGGACCCTGGCCAAAGGCACCCAGGCCCTCAAATCAAACCGCGGCCGAAACGCTACGCCACATCCTTCAACCGCACGGCCCTGAACCCCGAAACCCCAAAACCCCAACCCGAACCCCAAAACCACAAAATCCCAAACTCCCGCAACTCCAATACACTGAAGGCCTAGACCCTAAAATCTAAAACATGAACCCTGAAGACGTCCAGAGAATCAAAACTGAAACCGAAGAACTCCAAAGTTTCAAACCCAGGACAATGAATACCCTGAAATCCTACCGCCCTGCATCGAGGACTGGAACCTAAAACTATAGCACCCTTAAGTTCCCGTACATTTCCAAGCCCAATGACTCGAAGCTTCTAACCCATGAACACCTAAACCCTCAAGTTTTAAGCCCCATACATGTGAGACGCCGTGAAATCCTGGAACACACAACCCGAAGAGCCAAAAGATTGAACACAAAACCCGACCAAGGACCAAGAGGTAAACACCAGAACCCTGGAACCATAAAGTTCCAAAACCCGTACACTGAACCACCGGAAACCCTAAAACCCTAAGTCCGAAAACGCAAGAAAAAAACGAACTAAGGCCCTGAAACCCTGAAGCCCCAAGCCCNNNAAACCCTAAAACCCTAAGCCCCGAAAACAATGAAACTGAACACGACAATTTTCCAAACCCCCTACACTACATGCCCTGAAACCCTACAAAACCGTAGCCCTAAAAACAAAAAACTGACGCAAAAACCACACCACAAAAAGCCTGACCAAGGACCAAGAGCCAACCCCCGAAACCCTTCAACCTCAAAATTCCAACCCCATACGCTTAACATCCTGAACACTGAAACCCTGAAACCCTAAACACAAAAAAAACTAAAACCTGAAAACACCAAAAAACCAAGGGCGCTGAACCCGAACCCGCGAACCTTAAAGTTCGGCACGAAACCCGAAAACCCTAAGCCCTAAAAACCCAAAACCC